GTTTCACGGAATAAGGAATGACAACTCGACTTCTGAAAGGAATGATGTCTGAAAATATAGAGCAGTGTATATAGAGAGAGAGTATAATGGCATGACTTGGAATTTAGGACCATCATCACACGCTTTTGGGGGGTTTTTAACAACAAAACTTTTCCAGAAATACGGGTTTGAGTGACAGAAAGTGATTTAAGTCATATTTGTTAACAAAAACTTGCAATGCTCTATCCATTTATAAAACAGATCATGATCAGAACTACAACCAACAAGCAGTTACTCCACAAACAGAAAGTTTACTACAACCAGCATCCACAGAACAGCTTGAAATGGCACAAACCAACCCCGTTTCTGGGTCCTGGTGTTCTAGAGCAGACAAACATTTCTATAAATCACTTCAGGACCTGGATCACAGCGTGAAGTTCACGTTAATAAGTTAAACAAGGAAGTTTCAGTGCATTTTTAGCATTTGGAAACAGAAAGAACAGAGCCAGGGGCTGTGACAGAAGGAGGAGCTGCAGGATGAAAGAAACCCTTGGGGGTTAAATACCCCCCAAACTGTCTCACCAACACGTGGAGCCAGACACACCTGCCAGGCCCGGGGGAAAACCCTGGCCAGAGCAGTAAAACAGTGACAAAAGAGGATTTCCTCCCGTTTTCCATGGGTTGGGAATGCAATCCCAAACACCCTGGCTCTGCGGGGACACACAGAGCACACGGAGGGAGGAGCAGCAGGACACGGCTGGGGGAGCTCCCAGCAGGATTTTCCCTGGAGCTGGGCTGGAGAGAGGCTCAGCACCCCCCAGGTCATGGACAGGGCATTCCAAGGAAAGGGAGACACAACCCCCCAACACTTGCAGGCCATACCTTGCTCTGCTCCCTTCCTCTCTCTTCGGGTCTCTCTTCCCAGCTTCGGCCTGGAAGGCAAAACCCAGGGTCAGTGTTCAGCACTTGCAGAGGCTCCAGCACTCCAGAGCACACCCCCCAAACACGGGAGATCAAAGCACAGGGAACTGTTCCACAGCCCAGGGCAGGGACTCCCTGAGCTGACACTGGAGGGGATGTCACAGCACTCTGCAGACAGAACAGCACTGAGGGTTTGTGTCCCTTCAGAGCCGGGGTTGGAGCAGAACTGGCTCTGGGGCCAGGATACACCTGGAGGAGAGGGATGTTCAACACTCCTCTGCCCACACAGCACCTTCTTCCCTGTACTGTGAGGATGTGAATGGCTGCAGAGCTCAGGGGGAACATGTTCTTCTCCTTTTCTTCTCCTCCTCCTCCTTCTTCCTCTTCTCCTTCCCCTTCTCCTCCTCCTTTCCCCCTTCTTCTTCTCCTTCTTCCCTTTCTTCTCCTTCTTCTCTTTCTCCTCTTTCTTCTCCTTCTTCCCTTTCTTCTCCTTCTTCCCCTTCTCCTCTTTCTTCTTCCCCTTCTCCTCTTTCTTCTTCCCCTTGTCCATCTTCCCCTTCTCCTCCTCCTTCTTCCCCTTCTCTTCCTTTTTATTGCTGATATTATTATTAAGCAAACAGCCACACACCTTCTCTAACAAATTACACCCCAAGTTGAGCGAGTACCTACAAGACCCCCAGGCCAGTCCCTGTCCCTTAAATCCAGCCGTTCCCTGCAGGATGACTGTGTGTTCCTACAGAAAAAACTCCTGGATTGGCTGTTAAACGAAATAATGTCACCTGAAAAAGGCACCACGATAAAAAAACCCGTTAATCCTCAGTGCTGAGATCTCCATCTCCTTCCCAAAGGCACTTCCCGAACTCACTGCAGACAATCAGGATCAGGAACAGCAGAATTCACTTTTATTTATGGATGTGATTCCGAGGCCTTCAGTTTTCTGTAAAGGTTTATCCCAGAGATAAGTGCCCAAAGTAACAGAGTATGTTCTAAGGAATTAACAACTACTTGGTTTTTCCCCCAGAATCTGACTGAAAGGTTTCCAGAGGAATTAACCTCATGTTCCTTTGGGTCCCCAGGCACACAGCCCAGACTTTGGCAGGGGATGGAGAAGATGGACAAGAGGGAACAGACTCCAAATGCAGTGAAGTAAAACAGCTGGGGAAAAAAATCAGTTTTCCCTCTTCTCAGGCATTTTTGTCTCCCCCTCAGTTCCAGACAAAAGTAAAGCCCAGAGTTTAACCCCAAAGCACAGGCTGGCTGTGACACCTGGGCAAAAGCTGTGACAGGGGCACTGCCAGCAGGGAATGATCCTGTGCTCCAGTGGCACATCCTCCTTCCTGCTCCAAGACTTCCTCCCTATTTTTGGCATTTCAGCACTATTAAACTCAGACATTACCGGCAAAATTCCAGAAATCCAACTCTAAAGGGATGGAGCAGCACTTCCATGGCTGCTACCCCCCTAAATCAGCTCTAAGTGCCCCAAAACGTGCAGCTGGGAAGAAATGTTCGGAAAACAGGGTGGGAATGCCCTTCTTTGTTGGCACTGACTTCAGATGAAACGTTCCCAGGGACAAAGGGATGTTCTTCTGTCACTCCAGACACAGGGAGCAGCTGGAAAAGCGGATTTGAATCACTCTGGTGGATGTTTCTCATCGTGAGCACTACAAGGAAGGGTCTTTTCCTTATTTTTCAGTGCTAAGGGAGCTTATTCCTTACAATTATTAGACTTGAGAAAAAGCTTGTTAAGGATTTGTTAATTTTCTTCAGCTACAAAGTTCAGGTGATGTGGAAAAAGGAGGGAGGGGGAAAGTGGGACTATCCTGAATTTAGGCTAATTAATTGCTCCTAAAGAGGGAACTGCAGCACTTCCACCACGGATGAGGGGTCAGGACAGGATGGGAAGAGCTGGGAAGGCAGCTGGGGCCTGTTTTCCCTCCCTGTGGAAGAAAAGGATGGATGCCCTTGTTGTCATTTGGAACTTTCTCCTGTGAATAAAAGTGAAGGGAGAAACCAGAACCTGCAGCACATCCTGGTGTGGGAATGGGATCCCACAGGCATGGCACTGAGAGGGAACAGCAACACCCGGGGAATGAGAGCTCCAGGAAAGGAATTCACAGGGATGATCACCCACTGTCTCCTGGGGAGCCAGGCTGGGAGAGCTGGGGGGGTTCCCCTGGAGAAGAGAAGGCTCCAGGGAGAGCTGAGAGCCCCTGGCAGGGCCTGAAGGGGCTCCAGGAGAGCTGGAGAGGGACTGGGGACAAGGGATGGAGGGACAGCACACAGGGAATGGCTTCAGACTGACAGACACTCCAATTCTGTGGAGGTGCTGGTCAACTG